GTCAGAAGGGCCCTCACTCTGCTTTTCTTCGCCATCTCTTCTTCAGCTGTTAATGGGACAAGTCGTCTGGAATAAACCAACTCTTGTTACTCTTCAGCCGAAGTAAGTGCAAGGCTGAAGAGTACGACAGATCACGGTGCACCTTCCACAAAGAAAAGGGGCACCGAACTGAGAATTGCACACCGTTAAGACAACACTTGGAAGAGTTGGTGGCAGCAGGCCACTTGGACAAATATATTGAAGGAGGGACGCAACCAGCCCTCCAAGATCATAATAACCATCCCAACGGAATGCCAATCGATGCATTGCCTCAAGGTATTATCAATGTCATACATGGAGTTTTTGAACCTGAGCGCGTATGCGAGCTCAGAGGGTCAATCAAAAAGGCTGAGCACTTTAGAGAAGTGCTAGGTGCCCAACCTACCACCAAGAAGGGGAAGAAGGAGGCAACAAACGTCATATCTTTTTCGGATAAAGACCTGGATTGAATATACTGTCCTCACAATGATGCTCTGGTTGTCACTCTCCGAGTCAAAGATTTTGACGTCAAGCGGATTCTGATCGACCAGGGTAGTTCATGTGAGATCATGTACTACGAAACATTCAAACAGTTGAAGCTGCAAGACAAAGACTTGGCGCCTGCAGTTTCTCCCCTAATTGGATTCAACTCCATGCCAGAATGGCCCGTCGGCAAAATAATTCTTCCGGTCAGAGCAGGAAGCGTAACAAAACAAGTGGAGTTCTGGGTATTGAAGGTCTCCTCCACTTACAACATCATCTTGGGCAGAACATGGATGCATGCCATGCGTTCGGTAACGTCATCATACCATCAGGTAATGCGGTTCCCCAACAACACCGATATAATTGAAGAAGTTTATGGAGATCAGATCATGTCAAAACAATGTTTCGCCACGGTGAATGGCAGCCGCGCTGCCAAAGGATATGTTCATTCGGTGGAAGAACCAGAAAGTAATGAACTATTCGCGGACGTCAGTAAGGAGGCTGATCAGAAAGCGGTAGAGGACTTGGTGGAGGTAAAAATAGATGAGAAGAACCCGGATAAGTTCTTGCTTGGCTCATCGTTGTCCAGCACTGAGAGATTAGAGGTCTTGGAATTCTTGACCTCTAATATCGAAGTGTTTGCCTGGACACCCTACGACATGCCAGGAATTGACCCAAACTTCATCAGTCACGCGCTGCCAAAGGATATGTTCATTCGGTGGAAGAACCAGAAAGTAATGAACTATTCGCGGACGTCAGTAAGGAGGCTGATCAGAAAGCGGTAGAGGACTTGGTGGAGGTAAAAATAGATGAGAAGAACCCGGATAAGTTCTTCTTGCTTGGCTCATCGTTGTCCAGCACTGAGAGATTAAAGGTCTTGGAATTCTTGACCTCTAACATCGAAGTGTTTGCCTGGACGCCTTACGACATGCCAGATATTGATCCAAACTTCATCAGTCACCAACTCAATGTCCACCCATCCGCCAGACCAGTCATTCAACGCACACGCAGATCGGCACTCCACCACGCCGAAATAGTGGCAGAAGAGGTAGGCAACCTGCTGGAGG